GTATTTTAGAGCATTATGCAAAACTTAGATGTCCCTGAGCCCAGCACGTGAGCTTCCTGAGTCCAGAAAATTAACCTTCTGGGTGAGGCAGGAAAGCCTGACTCAAGTCTCCAGGTGACCCATGGCACCATTTAACTATCTTTTGCTGGACCCAACCATATGCACAGTAGCATAAAGATGGCTAAGTGCCTCTCCTTTAAGCTGCTACAGAATTAGATTCTGCCTCAGTGGTACCTAAACGGCTCTATTTTGGAATGGAATTCAATAAAAGAAACACCTTGGACTCAAAATGTTAAATTTAAGGTACTTGGAGAAAAACCAGGCCCAGAGTAGATTTTACTTCTTCTCAGACATGTCTAACAACAGTTGCATTTGGGAAATGTCACATTTCTATAAATTCTAGATCATCTTATGCACTTCTACCGGGTGTCTTTGTGTTTCCTGTGACTGGAAAGACTACCTGTGTAGGTGGTATCCATGTGTGCCATGGTACATTCTGTCTATAAAAGGACTTCCTACCAGAACAGACACATATGGCAAATCCTGAAAAGAAAATTCAGAAATTCTTTTTTTCTCTCTCAGGACTAGTTGACTTTTTCTATTTTTCTCTTTTCCCCATTATTATAGTTACATGGGTATCTAGTTACTATTGGAAAAAAGATGCAAGAAGTGCTTGAAACCTGTTTGATTCCATGAATGTCCAGATGACATCCATTATTGACCTAAAACTACAAATAAGAACTTGCAATGGCATCAAGGGTCTCTTGGTGATTTGATGCAGTTGTCCTTCCTATCTACTCTCAAGTAGAAGTCATTCATTAAAAAAATTAAACTTTTTTTTCATTATTTTTTGTATTTAATACTGACTTTATTCCTTCGGGGTCATTCATGCTTCAGATATAATCCTGCCTGTCCATGTTCAAAATATTTCTCTTTTCTAAGTGGCCCACTTACCAATCATCAATCTATATCAGTTAAGAGGTTAAGATATTAAGATTTAGCAATACCTTAGTATGTTGCTTTGTCTTAGGATATTTGATATTAAGAGAGACTTTGAATATGTATATGCATTGTAGTTAAGACATACCTCAAATTTGTTTTCTAATAAAAAATGAACCTTTATTTTTACATGAACACTCACTAAAATTATTACCAAATAGCTATAAATTACGCTGAAATTAATTCAGTCCAATGTTTGACATATACAGCCTATTCATCTTTATAGGCAAATGAAGACACATGCTGCTCTACTTCCTCTCACCTTACATTCCCAATAATCTCTTCAGGTCAGTTTCTAAGCACGTATTTTTAAATACTAAACAGGAGCCTTGGCACTTTAAAATTATCCCAAATAAAATCTGATTAGCTCTGTTTTAAGTTCTATAGAAGGAGCCATTTAATAGGAACAGAGATGTGAGTTTGGAAATCATGGGTCATGGATGAGTGTCGACATGACAGAGATAGGGAGCAAAGCCGTAGAGGCATTTCCCCTCCAGGATCTGCAGGATTGCTCCATCACTTCTCCGAATAATGACCCTGTGAGCTCTGGAGAATGATCTTTGCCATTTGCCAGCTGTGTGAGCAATAGCACAGCCAGGTCTCCCACTGTTCTGATATATTCTTGGAGGCAGTGCAAGCAGGAAGGACCACACGGGTAAGTCCTGTGATGTTGGCTCATCCATTGTACAAAGTAGAAAAAAAACACATAACTGTAATCTTTTCTTTTTTCAGACAGCTGGTTAGAGTGGACGCTGAGTATAGCATTAGATTTTATTTTTAAGGCACCTCATCCTGAAGCTAATGCCCAGAGAAGTATGAATTTAATGACAGGAGGCCAGTGCCAATGCAAAAATACATCAAAGCACACTTGGTAACTGGCCAGCAAATAGTGACTGCAGTGTGATCATCATGTCTTTCAGAGAGCATTCTATTACAATAAACATGGTGGGCCTCTTTTGATGAGGCCAAAGATGGCACTTTTCCCCTCACTTATAAAAGAGAAAAAGAAGACTATTTTGTCTCTTAATGAGGCTGTGCTGGCAAATCTTTCTTCACCAAAGGGAAGCAATTTAGTGGAACGGCTTACCCAGTAACCATGCTCAGTTTCATTGCATGGCTATATAAAGCATAAAAGTTAATAGCATGGTGGGAAATACCATTAATGCAATTTTATTATTGTATATAATTTTCTAAATTAAGCTCCAATTACTTGGTAGTTTAGAAAAAAATACTGAATACACAGCTTGAGCTAGACAATCTGTTTGAGGTTAGAATAAAATTTTAAAAAACAGATATTGTCAGCTGTCTAGGGAATAATCAACAGAAGGTAAAATAAACCTGGACTTTAATCATAGTTGCAAAGCTAACGCAATGGCTCATCTCAGGCAACTCTCATAAGTTTCATTCCCTATTATATTACATAGAAAAATACTTCTGGGGGGAAGGTATATTTATATACTTCTTAGATATTGTTAACTATTTTCCTCATTGTTATTATGTTCTTCATTTAAAAACAAAAAAAATAGTAAAGAAGAAAGCCCCAGAGGGGAGCTATAATTTAATTTACAAATAATAGATATTAATTATTCCCATATCTTCTCTAATGCTTAGTCATGACATGTCCAGCTCAAGTCAAAAACCTTCATGAAGCTTGGTTGGTGTGGCTCATTGGTTGAGCACAGACCTATGAATCAGGAGGTCACAGTTTGATTCCTGGTCAGGACACATGCTCAGGTTGGGGGCTCAATCCCCAGTAGTGGGTGTAGAGGAGGTAGTCCATTAATGAATCTCTCTCATCATTGATGTTTCTCTCTCTCTCTCTCTCTCTCCCTCCCTCTCCCTTCCTCTCTGAAATCAATACAATATATATTTTTTAAAAACCTTCATGAAGAGTCACCTGAATCCCCCAGCTGAAAGTTTGAAAACAGAGGGTGCTAGCTTCAGCATCCTCCTGGCGCTCTCCATTACACTCCCTCCTATTAATTGTTACTGATATAGTATTTTACCTCCCCTGCGAGAACAGAGGCATAGATCACACCTAACTCACCACTTGCATAGGGACACATAGATCATCTTACCTCTACACTGACTACATGAGGTCATAGGCTCTCATTAGCTTTTGGTCTCCTTTCAGAGTAATGAAACTTGTGCTAGTGGGGGTTATGCTTGTATATGCCTAGAACAGTTAGTCTCATAAACAATATGTCATGATATTTATTTGCTTAAAACTTTCCAATGGCTTCTCTGTATACTAAAAATAAAATGCAGATCCATTCCTTTCCCTATGTATTAGATTCTGCATGCTATCTCCTGTCTTCCTTATCAGCACATCTCCTATCAGTTTCATCGTTTCTCACAATGTTCTAGCCATATTAGCTTATTTTCTGTTAAATGGTCATGTTTGTCCCTACCTCAGGATCATTGGCTATTTATGTGCCTGGAACATTCTGTTCCAGATGTTCACATGCTGGTGCTGGTTTCTCCTTGTCATTGTTGGTCTTTACCCCCATGCCACCTTCTCTCACCACTCAACTTCCTACCTTTCAACTTCTATCTCTTAACCTGCATTATTTTCTTGCTATCACACTTATTGTCAGTAATTATGCTGCTTATTTATATGATTGTTTTTTGTTTTGCTTATACTTCCATTAGAGTGCAAGTGACAAGTGGGTAGAGAATGTGTCTGATTCACCTCTATGTCGCAGTGCCTAGAATGGCACCTGGAACATAGAAACATCTTAATCATTACCTCTTAAATAAATGAATAAGTAAATGAATGAACATGAGCATGTTTTAAGCATCAAGCCTAAATAACTTATGGCAACAACAAAACTAATGTGAATTAGCAACCCAATAATTACATGCCCCAAATCACTTCCCATGACAATTCCTGACACATTTATATCATATACTACACAGCTCATAGTTGCTCTCTCTTTTAGTATCACCCATATTATTTGATGACCAAAATCATGATGATGATATTAAAGGAGAGGTGATGCTACACACCAAAGAATTAAAATTAAAATTCTGGAAACAAGTATTTCTGATGATAAATATAAACTTTTGCTGAGACACTTAAAAATACATCTCTACCCAAATTATCTCATGGTCAATTAAAATTATAATACTCTTTTACTCTATAGACAGGTGGGCTCCTGGGGTATCTCAGTTTAGAATCCCATGATGGAAAATTAAGTGGGCCCCAGCTGATTTGGCTCAGTGAATAGAGCATCAGACTGTGGAACGAAGGGTCCCAGGTTTGATTCTTGTCAGGCACATGCCTGGGTTGCGGGCTCAATCCCCAGTTGGGGGCGTGCAGGAGGCAGCCAGTCAATGATTCTTTCTCATCATTGATGTTTCTATCTCCCTCTCTCTTCCTCTCCCTTCCTCTCTGAAACCAATAAAAATATAAAAAGGGAAAAAAAGAAAATTAAGATGGTAAATGGTCTAGAATCTCTCTTTTTATTCTTCAGCTGCTGCTCACACCATAAAATAGGACATACATTAACCTCATTTTTAAAGGTTGTTGTTCAATTAAGTATAATCTCAACTTTATTACTTTGATTTCTAGACCTTTAATTTCCTTTTTTGCATTTCTTATTTTCTATTATACCTGGAAGTATCACATAGAACAATATTAATGTTATTCTTCCAGGAGATCATGCCCTTGACATTGCCCTACATCTTATACTCGTGATCAAGTCATAGGGTAATGTGTCCCTGACAATTTGAGGAGGGATAGGGAATCTTTTAGGGAATAAGGGAGGATTGCTTGGCCACCCAGTTTAAAAAACAAAGTTTGGGTAATTCATCAAAAGTAGATTATGCTTAAAATACATGTGGTAATTTCAGCTTGTATCCACCTTTCCATTCAGATTTAAAGCATCCCACTTGGAGATACATAAAATAGTTATATATCTAGCCTAGGATGGTTTCCTGGGTGTCTCATGAGCTCTGTTCTCTCCAAACAACTGAACACACTTGGGAAGTGCCCCTACCTGTCTTTAAATAACGCGTCATCAATCCCTTTCCTGCGAAGCAGATCCTGTGGGCCATAGGGTGTGTCTTTGCATTTAGAATCTGTGTCACACAGTAGGGTTTGAAGGAACGGGAAGAAGCCAGTACTAGGAAGGTTTCGAGGTGCAAGGTAACCTGAAATTTAAAACAAACAATAGTTACATCACTATGATATGTACCTGGGAAGGAAAAGAGATGTAGTAGCCCTGTTTTGGAAACTGCCTTCTGGATTATGACTGTTTGAGTTCCCTACATACCAAAAGAGTCCAAATGCCATGAAATCTTCTTGGATTTATTCTAAGGAAATGGCTGCAAGAATGTTTTCTAGAGTGTTTTAAAAACAAATCACAGTGTATCCATATAATAAAAGACAATGCAGCCAATAAAAATGTCAAATAACACAGAAAATGTTTATAATATATTGTTAATTAAAAAGAGCAAGCCAGAAGGCAGTATGACCAGAACAGTCCTCATCTTTTAAAAAATATATAACAATATATGCATATATAAAAATCTGTAGGGATTTTTTCCCCCTCTGGTGGTATATTTCACATGAAATTTACTTTTGTTTGAGTATATATGAACAATTCTTTCCCAAATGGACATGTCTTCTTTTCTAATTAAGGTTGTTATAAATTCAGCCAATCTTCCAGCTACCAAAAATATTTTTGTTCTCCTCAAAATTTAATATAATAGCAAATTAATTATCCTATGCAGACAATACTTTTTCCTGTTTAAAAACCAATACTAATGGTGTGAGTGAACATGCAGATTTTCCTTGTTGTTGTTGTTTTTGTTACAGAAAACAAGAACTATAACAGTAGAGGGTTTTATAACCTTTAATATCTGCTTTATAAATTATGAAGATGGCATACACATGAATCGAGACAATAGGAAAGCTGAAAAGTAACAATTTTGATATTGAAACTCTAGATTCCTCCCTTCTGGGAACATGGGAACCCTGAACTTTCCAAAAAAGGCAGATTTAGAAACTATAAGGGTAATTCCAAACTGAAGACTAAAAAACAAAACCTTAGCTTCCTCAAAATTCTGTTAAAAATATTGTGTTTTCGCCTCAGTGGATAGAGCATCAGCCTGCGGACTGAAGGGTCCCAGGTTCGATTCCAGTCAAGGGCATGTACCTTGGTTGCGGGCACATCCCCAGTAGAGGGTGTGCAAGAGGCAGCTGATCAATGTTTCTAACTCTCTATCCTTCTCCCTTCCTCTCTGTACAAAAATCAATAAAAATATATTTTTTTAAAAAAATAAATAAAAATATTGTTTTCATTGTGAAAGAGATCTGTTTTCATTATAAAAAGAAAGAGGAAAACATTTTTTAAAAACACAGTAAGAGCAACATGGCTAAGCATGCATTCATATATTAGCAGAGAGAATAATAAATCAAGTTTTGATTCAGCCAACTTATATACAGATTGAGACAAAGAAAGAAAATTGGAAATAAAAGGGAAGGGGCAATAAGAAAGTTTGTCAGAAGAGAGAGAGAGAGAGAGAGAGAGAGAGAGAGAGAGAGAGAGAGAGAGAGAGATTGGAAGATGTTATACTGTTGACTTTGAAGTTGGAGAAAGGAGACAAAAACTGAGGAAAATGGGCTTTTTCTAGAAGCTGCAAAAGGCAGGGAAACAGATTATCTTGGAACCACCATAGGGAAGTAGCCCTGCCAACACCATAATTTTTAAATGCGAAGTCTAAATTTCAGACTTCTGACCTCCGCAACTGTAAAATAAGTTTGTGTTATTTGTAAGACACTAAGTTTGTGGTGATTTGTTATAGCAGTCATAGAAATACCTAATACATAAAATCATACCAGTATGAATTAAAGTTTTGAAAATTCAGAAGAAATTAGAAAGACAAATCTACCCAACTACTTAGTACTACCTTCTAAGCAGCTTCTCTTTTTGACACCAGAAAGACCAGGTCTCTCCTAATATTACACCCAAGTGAAAATTGCAATGAACCTGCAATATTTTCCTTATAGGACAATCCCTTGAATAAGCTAGGGAATAGCTGTCAAATTGGTGGTTAACGTTACACATCATCCCTCTATAACAAAATTCTGCCCCAGTGAACTGCATACAGCATGACCTTTACAATTCTGCAGTGCAATTTCATTATTAATGGTATTCCACCAGTTACACAGATTGCAGGTGTGGCTTCTTACTAGGGGTGCTGGTCTGCAATTGGGTTTAATTCTTTTCCATGTCAAACATGTGCAGTGGGTTGTTTAAATGGAAGGCAGGTGGAAGGGCAACAAAAACAGTGACCACCTCTGTCCTATGCGTCTTATCAAGGTGAGAGTATGACTGAGCCAGGCAGTACTGAAAACAGCGGAAGCTCAAGGGAAGCTATATTGTAACAGGAAAAGAAGGAAAAAGAAGTCATGGAAAGAAGACCTGGGAAGAGGTGGCACATTACATCCAATTTTACTTTTTCTGGCATTGATTAAAGTTTGCAAATTATTAGAGGAAAATTTGAAAGAATTTAAACCCATAATATTCTTTGAAGATTAAATATATATATGCCTAGTCAACAGAAAAATTTATCACAGGATTTTTTTAATATGTTTTTATTGATTTCAGAGAGGAAGGGAGAGAGGGAGAGAGATAGAAACATCTATGATGAGAGAGAATCACTGATCAGCTGCCTCCTGAATGCCCCCTACTGTGGGTTAAGCCCACAATCCAGGCATGTGCCCTGACCAGAAATCGAACTGGGACCTCCTGGTTCATAGGTTGAGGCTCAACCACTGAGCTATCCCATCCAGCCATCAAGGCATTATTTCTTTTTTCATTTTTAAGTATTTTTATTGTTCATAGTACTATCAGGCATTTTTTTTTATATACTAAGAAAAAGTAAAGCCATTTTCATTGCAAGGTGGGTAAAAAGTGAGTCATCATAGCCCCCTTGGGCCAGAGGGACTGAGAAATCACAGGATTTTTTTAAAAAACAAGTCTGGATGAAGATTTAAAAACAACAACAACAACAACAAAAACCAAGTACAAACAGTATACATTTTGCGTAGTTCTATAGATAATTGATATTTAACCAGTCACAATGGCTTTATGCAAATGAAGAATTGGTTTAGGTGTGCAAAGCTTTAGTTAGCACAGTGCTACACAGAACATTAACTGCCTGCACTACTTATTTTACCATCATTTTTTAATTGTCTTAAGTTTTACATATGTCTTCTTTTTCCCTAATTGACCCCCTCAAAACCATTCCCACCCTGGGCAAGCCCCCACCGCCCCTGTGTCTGTGTCCATTGGTTATAATATGCATGCATACAAGTCCTTTAGTTGTTCTCTAACCCCCCCCTCCCCTGCCATCTGTGTCTGGATCTATTTTTGTTCATCAAATGATGTTGATCATTATATCCCACATATGAGTGAGATCATGTGATATTTATCTTTCTCCGATTGGATTATTTCGCTTAGCATAAAAATATGGAACGCTTCACAAATTTGCATGTCATCCTTGCACAGGGGCCATGCTAATCTTCTCTGTATCATTCCAATTTTAGTATCTGTGCTGCCAAAGGAAGCACTTACCATCATTTCTTAACCAAGAAACATACACTCATTAAGATAAAGAGGCCTGTTGCAGCAACATTAGCACTGATTTATTAAGCATCTACTGTATTCCACATGCTATGCGAGGCATATAACATACATTTACATCATTCATTCTTCTTTGATATCCATAATATACTTTTTCATGCACATCAACTTTTCACAAAATCTATAAATGCTCTAGAACTAACAAGTCAAAATTAATTAAACTCTACTGTAGCTTTCTTTTAAAAAAATGAATTTTATCTTCTGTCCATCTCAATTATGTGTGCAAGGGAGTGACCACTCAGAACAATGGTGGAATGAAACCATCAAACATTTTTTAAAAATGTATTTGTATTGATTTCAGAGAGAAAGGGAGAGGGATAGAAGCATCAACGATGAGAGAGAAATTGATTGGATGCCTCCTGCACACTCCACACTAGGGACTGAGCACGCAACCTGGGCATGTAGCCTGACCAGGAATTGAACCATGACTTTCTGGTTCATAGGTCGATACTCAACCACTGAGCCATGCTAGCCAGGCCCTTCACACATTTTAAAGAGCTGCTAATTCTAAGTTGAACTCCTATTCTGAAGGTGTCTATGGAACTTTCAAGTTCCCAAATTATGTTTCTCTTTATATTTGTAATGATAGGATGCAGAGAAAAGAGAAACATTTCTCTATCCCTTACAAAACTTCCATATATCAAGTGTGAATCATGCAAATTTAAGGCTAATAAGTGGTTGCCTACATTCTTAGCCAGAGCCCAGATTTAAGGATACAAATAGAGAAAGATCACAACTGTGCAAACCACAGCTCTACTTGCAGGGGAAATTTTTATTCAGGTTCTTGAGATGGAGTGTTTAGACTGGATAAAGTTACTGGAATCAGAATTTCCAAAGGTCTCACACCTAGGACAACATTCATGCCCATCTCTAGGAGAAAAGCTGTTGAAGAACTTGCAATTTCATGGGAAATTAGAGTCAGAAGACTCCAGCATAATCTAAGAGAGGTGGGGTAGGTGGGAAGCAAAATTCCATCATCTTACGGCTTAGTTTCTTAGGGGCTCCAGGTAGAGGCAGTGAGGTTGGCTATGGAGCCCCCTATAGGTGAGGAGAAGTTCCCCACATAAACTGGATACAGTTGACATTAGTGACACAGACAAGCAATGGCATTAACAGAATCCAATGCTACTTCAGGGAGAGGAATCAAACCAGACTACAAAACAGTTTTAGGAACAGACCTTCAATCACCTAAGGTTTTACCTACATCAAATTTATTTTTCATTAAGAATGAAACCAGCTTTACCAAAAGATCCATTTCTAAAGATTTTTTAAAAAATAGATATTTTGTAAACAACTGTGATATCAAGCAATGTATCTATGTTTACCTAATAGAGGGAACACCTTTGATATTCCTTTCCCTTTCCGCACAGAAGTCCTTATTTAGAGCAATTTTAGTGCGATATAATGTGAAGATTAGAGCAGTGGTTCTCAAAGTGTGGTCCCTGGACAATAGCAGCAGCATCACCTGGGAACTTATTAGACAAGAAAATTTGAGATCCC